TGTTTGATAAAACATCCTAACCCCAAATGATTTCCATGAACTTTAATATATGTTAGAGGCAGCACATCTCTCTATTTGAGAAGCTGGAATCAGAGAAATTCTGAAAATATAAAAATGAACAAAAACCCACTATTTGTTTCCCTCAATAGATAAGTGGATGGGAAAACAGTTACTAAAGATATTATGCCAATGTATAAATATTGAATATAGTATTGATGCATTTACCCAATTTAGAATTTAGAATTTGGTTAAATGAATGACATGTATTGATTGAACTTATTGAACTCTAACACATCCTTTAAGATGACAAGATCATATTGAAGAAATATCACAATGTATCAATACAAAAACATCCCTTTTGTGTTTCGTATGCACATATGATGCCAATCAATAGGCTTTCTCTGCATGTTTTATTGTTACACAATGTTTTCTAAATGCACCTGTCTTCCCTCTATCAGGAGATGGAGCGTCTCATCCTCGCCACCCTCCGATGGGACACAGCAGCAGTGACTCCGCAGGACTTCTTCCCACATTTCCTTGCCTCTGTGGAGGAGCGAAGAGATGGAGACAGCGGTGACTCTGAGAAGGGGCTGCTGCTCTCCACCCTGCGGCGGCACAGTGACACGCTGGCCGCCATGTGTGCGTGTGACTCCCGCTTCCTGGGAGCACCACCGTCCCTTGTTGCTGCAGCGACACTGAATTGTGCTCTGCGGGGCTTAGGCAACAAGAGCCCGGCTCAGCTGGCTGTCATATATGCGGCACTAGCGGAGCTCTGCCAAGCTGACCTGGTGAGTACACCTGCAGTCTGATGCTGCACATTACAGTATGGCCTTTTGATCTCATCAGAGTTGTTTCCATAATATGTTAAAGGTTCCATGTCATGCTTTTCTGGTTATTACCCGTCCCCTTGTGTGTTATGTAGCTTTTACTGCATGGAAACGGTCTGCAGAGTCACTAACCCTCAAAGTACACCCTGTAGCGAGTAAAACTCTAACACAGAAAATACCTTTCTATGCTGCCCCAGAACGCCTCGTTGGAGATTTCTTTTTTTCCATTGTTTTCTTCTTGGGTATAGTGACGTATTTGGGTATAGTGACGTAACGTAACGGCTCCGCGGAACTCAGCCTGCGCACACACACAAACTCCCAGCCAGGCTAGGATAGGAGAATCTATTTTAGGTATACCTCAACAATGGAATTATGATCAGTAGAAATGGCCATGACATGGGACCTTTAAGAGAGGTCTGTTTGGGTGTTCAGTCGTTAAAAAAGCCAGGTTGCATCTTTGATTTTCTTTATGTCTTTTATCCAAGGCATTGCTACAGTGCTACAGTGACATGATCGAATATGGTCTCCGACAGCGACTGAGGAGCGGGCTGCAGCAGGGCCCCATGGAGAAGGAAGAAGAGGTGGAGAACGAAAGACCCGGGACCCCTACTGACCTGAGAGAGATTGATTTTTAGACACTGGATCGACTTTTACATTGAAAGTGTGAATCGGTCAAAAACCTATCAAAGTGTATCAGTCAAACTGATATATATTGAACATGACCTCGAAATGCTCTGACCTGTTTTGATATTGTAAAATTATTTTTTGAGTGACTATTAATTTATAATTTATTGTTTAACTTTATTTATTTGTGAACACTTTTGCAATTTTGTCTTTCGCATGTGCCATATTTTATTATCTATTTCTATTTGTAGGCATAGATGTTATTTTGATGCATAATATTTATATATTTTATTTATTATTAAGTGAAATTGTTGGCTCTTTTGATGTTAATTTATTTCAACCTGCCATTACTTTGTGTTTGTGTACTGAATTTAATATACATGAGATCTATTTTTCAAAGAAATTAAACGTTTAAAACGTTTGTACAATGTGTGTTTGGCATTTGTGTTTTATTTATGTTTTTGGTAATGCTGCCTTCACTTACTTCACACATCACATTTACATAACTCAACAGGGTCAGTTCTTCCGAGCTCTGAACTGGAAAATATAATGTATCTACTTTCACAAGGGTCATAATTACACCCTTATAGGACAGTGACAGGAGCAAATATGTTGGGGGCTGATTTTTTAATCGAGGGTTACTACTTAAAATAAAACAAAAGGTCTAAGCTGGTATATTTGACATTTCTGTGGGAAGTATTTCCGACGGTCCCTGAAGGCAGCGTGTAGGACAACCCTTTCACACCCGTGACGTCAATTTTATCCGACGCGAATACAAATCGTGCTTTGAGAATCGGATCGGATATAACATACGTGCGGTAGGTAACTATCTATTTAAAGACATCTTGTGTTAAAGTGTAATTAAGATTTCTTGTATCGATGCAGTTTAAATTAGAAATAATCGTGACATTTCAGAGACAACGCAGTTACAACCCCCGATGTTCAGGGCTACTGTCGGTGATGGAAAACCAGAACCTGTTATATTACCTGTACAATTACATTGTAACGAATGAATAACATTATAAATGCTGTTAAACAAAGCATTACTTTATTCATGTCATAGGTTCAATCTCACATATGATATGGCTACATCTAGGGAAGGATACCATTTTTTGCTTAGCACTTCCCTCATCCGCATCCGTGTTGTCCTAATAATCTAAGCTAGTTAGCTAACGATCACTAGCCACCACACGGATAATACACTATAATACTAATGCTACATTTAAATTGGGTTATTTATTATATTCAGTAACCTTTATGGTATCTTTAGATGAATAGATGCTCCTATTTCAGCTTGTAGAAGGTGTCCTTCTCAGAAATGAACGTTACGCCAAACTCCACCTAACACATCTGATATTATTGATCATCTTTTCAGAGAAGCCACAAACGTTATAGATCTAAACAACTTTAGAGTTTTTTCAATTATATGGAATCTCTTTCCGAATTCGGCATACAGTATTCATACCAGCCATGAACAAAACACACTAAAATAAGATAATGAGTTTGCAATAATTATGTTGTTACGTGTAACTAACTAACCCAGGGTCAGGGTTACTATCCTCCCAGATGAATTCTTTTGTTTTGATTTATCTAGTAGTTTAAATATATATACCTATACTGTTTGCACCTTTAAATGAAAGTCTGAGCTAACATACAGCAGGGTTAAATTGTTCAGTAACAGAGGACCTTACAATCAGCCTCACGCAGTGTTACATGCCTTTGTAAGATTGTAGCTTTTCCATCATAGTTTGATTCATATTTTTGCATGCTTAACCAATGTGCCCTTTGTCTTTGTGCATGTTTTTAAGGACTTATATCTTCTGATATTTTTTTGTTCATTAATGATTGTTGTAAAACAAATCCTCTATAAATAAGTGTAAATGGACCTTGACAATATGGTAACAGTTAGTGTGGTTTATCGAAGGAGGATGAACCCAACACCTGTGTGGCTGTTGGTTCTATCCATCTGTGCTGGGGTCTGGTCAGTGCCTATAGATCGCAATGGAGACAACCAGGAAACTAAAGAAGAAGTGCCGGAAGAGAACGTGGTAACAATCTCAATAATCTCAGTCATGTAATTAATTGAGTTTTAGTTGGTTGTGAATAATCTGTCCTTTCATACACACTCTTTCAGGACACTGGCCTTTACTATGACAGGTATCTCAGAGAAGTGATAGAGGTTTTGGAGACAGACCCTCACTTCAGGGAGAAACTGCAAACAGCGAACACAGAGGACATCAAGGTCAGCGCCCATTTCCTATTTCATTCTCACTAACGAAGCTTCCTAGTTTACCTTTAAACTGGTAAACTGAGGATCTCAGGTTTAATCTGTTGTCCTCCCCTGGATGTCTTGTGTGCTTCTTCAGAATGGTCGTCTCAGTAAAGAGCTGGATCTGGTGGGTCACCATGTGAGGACTCGTCTGGATGAGCTGAAGCGTCAGGAGGTTTCTCGCCTCAGGATGCTGCTCAAGGCCAAACTGGACAGCACCAATACACAAAGTGAGTGGACTCATTTTCATGTAGTGAAAAATAGTGTGTACATGTACCTATTTAAATAGATTGTATTCAATTTTGTGCAGATCCCTGCTAAAAAAATGGCATGGTTTCTGTATCAGAAAAATACATTCATATGACAAATGTTCATTTGTGAAGGTAGCGTTGTCTTCTTTTACAGGTAAAATTGTGTTGTGTAGTGTAGGGCTGCTCGATTATGGCAAAAATCATAATCTCGATTATTTGTGTCAATAATTGAGATCACGATTATTAAAAACGATTATCCTATTTACTTTGAAAACATCAATTTATTGAAAAAGAAAAGTTGCAGTATGTTTTTAATAGTTGATTACCCTGAACTTTAAATATAATTCAATCGAAAAACCAATACAAAAAATAAATATATTTTTCTTTTTTAAATAAATAATAATAATTTTTAAAAAAAAATCGTTTTATTTCGATTATGTTGTTTTCATAATCGTGGCTAGCCAAAATCGTAATTGCGATTAAAATACGATTAATTGAGCAGCCCTAGTGTAGTGTATAAAATGTCACATTGAACATAAAACAAGTATTTGAACTGAAAGTGTCTTCAAATCTTACTAATAACTATACTAAATGTGATCCAAATGATGTACTCTGAAAAGCAATATTTGTATGATTTTGTGAGTAACGCAATCAGCAAATGTTTTCTTTTTTTACTTGGAAAAAATACCAACAATAGTAAATATGCACATGAACGCATTATAGTAAATTGTGTATTGAGAGAGGAATGTAACTTCCTTAATACAGAGGTGTGTTAAGTGTGTACAGGATATAATGGAAGTCATATGAGTCCAGCATGTGTTTGGTAATGATGAGTCTTCTCTGCTTTGCAGGCCTGCAGATGGACCACAGCTCGCTACTCAAGCAGTTTGAACATCTGGATCCCCACAATCAAAACACCTTCGAGGCCAAAGACCTTGAGCTGCTAATCACAACGGTAAGATCCCCAGAGACAGAAAAATCAGTCTGTTTATGTGCTGACCAGATTGAAATGGAACGTGTGAATCATAATTACACTAATCAGAGTTGAGTAGGCTACTAATACCAGTCAGACCATGATGGACAACCTGTTACTGATTGTCTTGGAATAAAATATTCGCTCTGGCTCTTTGTCTAGGCCACCAAGGACCTGGAGAACTACGACGCCGAGAGGCACGAGGAGTTTAAACGCTACGAGATGCTGAAGGAGCACGAGAGACGGGAGTACCTGAAGGGCTTGGACCAGGAGAAGAGGGAGAAAGAGGAAAAGAGAATGCAGGAGCTCAAGGAAAAACACCACCAGCACCCCAAAGTCAATGCTCCAGTAAGCACAAATGTTGTTGTTTTTCAATTGGAAACAAGTGGAAGTGAATGAAGCTCTCTTACATGTGTTTCCTCTTTGCTTCATTTTTCCAAACCTCAGGGTAGTGTTGCTCAGCTACGGGAAGTTTGGGAGGAGACAGACGGACTGGATCCTAAGGAGTTCAACCCGAAAACATTTTTTAAACTGCATGGTGAGTGGCGCCTCTTCTTCTCATTCCTGTCCTTTTCCATGGTAAGAAAAGCATTCTTATTTCTCCTCCGCCCTGTTTTAGATACAAATGAAGATGGTGTTTTAGATGAGCAGGAATTGGAGGCTCTTTTCACTAAAGAGGTAAGGCCTTAAATCTTGTCTTCAAAATCAAGGTTTTAATTGTTTTGGTTTTGCTATGAAAACCCCTTAAAACCCCACGACACAATATCAAAATTGGATGATCATCTATTTGAAAATACAGCTGTTTTGACTTTTAAAAAGTACAAGTTCTGAACCTGACAGCGGTGATATGCACAGCAGCCCTGTAACACCTGTTCATTTCCCTCCTCCAGCTGGAGAAGGTCTACGACGCAAAGAACGAGGAAGATGATATGACGGAGATGGAGGAAGAAAGGCTGAGGATGAGGGAGCATGTCATGAAGAATGTGAGGGTTTATGTTTTTGCTTGTTTCTAACATATGCTGTTATACACTCCACTTCCTTCCATGCTTTGCCACAACTCATATAGCTGATGTTTCTGTGTTAAAGGTGGACGCAAATCAAGATCGTCTCGTCAGCTTGGAAGAGTTCCTTAAATCCACAGAGAAGAAGGAGTTCAGTAATCCCAGGGAGTGGGAGGTAAAGAGCCCAGGGTGGCCTGTAGGTCGGGGGTGTGGGCGGGCTATCGGAGGTTCAAATCTGTGGTTCAAATCCCAGGACAAGCTGGGGAAATGTGGGCGGTGTAGTTAAATGTGTAATGCTATTCTTTCTTTTCATCAATTTGCAGACTTCAAGCTGCTCCCATAAGTGGCTGCTGTGAATGGAATTATGTAGTTTAATGTTGCATTTAGTTAAAGAAAAAAGCTATTTAGCATTACATTGCTTTAACACTGTCCACTCAGGAGGGACAGTTCAGAAGATAAGTACCCATAATATAGCTTGTCCCCTTAGTCAGAGATGCATGTGTTTTAGTATCAGCTAATAGCTTTGAACAAAGACATATTGAGAATGAAGAGAGAAGCAGAACCAGCCAATGGGGGTGAGAATAACGAAGCTACGTCTTTACAAATCCATCATATTTCAACAGTTGTGTGAATGTCTTGCTGTCTCTGTAGACTCTGGAAACTAAACCGGCGTACACAGAGGAAGAGCTCCAGCTATTTGAGGTGGAACTCAGGGACAAAGAGGAGGAGCTGAAGAGGAAGGCGGAGAACCTGCAGCAGCAGCAGGACC